AACCAGATTCAAGTTATTCCTAGTTATTAATATATAATGAAAATATTTAAATCTCCCAAAAAAAGCTTTAAATTATGTAAAAAATAAAATCCTTTTCTCGTCCAAAAAGTTTCAAACTACGGTTCCTTAATTTAACCTAAATAAATTGGATTTTTTGATAAATAACCAAATATAGATAATAAACAGGTTCCAGATTTAGTGATACATAAGTTACCCCTAGTATTACATTAAATATGATCCACATGACTATAAGTTTGGGGTAGTCTTACCACACCACCCTCGGTTACACAAATATTTGTTGGGGTGTGATGTCCGATGTGCGTGACAAATAGAGATCAGGCTACCAAAAAAAAACTGTCCCTCAGATAAATATAAAAAATGCGAACGCGGATATCACGTGACAATGTGACGCTAAATGTCACTGTGTAACCGAGGGTGGTGTGGTAAGATTTTCCATAAGTTTGTAACACAATTATTAATTATTTAAAGTAAAAAACGTTCGATTTACATTTTTTAAAACCTTTTTTTTTTTTTTTTTTNCTTTTTTTTAAAAAAAGAACTTTTTTAAAAACAAAAAAAAAAATGTCAAAACTTTCCATTGATTGTCTTAATGAAATTTTTGAATATTTAGAAAAAGAAACTTTACACTCATGTTTATTGGTCAATCGCCTTTGGTGCGAATCTTCGGTTAGATTCTTTTGGAGAGATGGTTGGAATTATAATACTTTAAATTATTGTACCTTAATTTCTTGTCTTCCGGAAGAGTCAAAAGAAATTTTAAATAAAAATGAAATAATTATTCCAACTCCAACTTCAAAACCTCCGATTTTCAATTATGCAACATTTTGTAAAGTTCTATCAATTAATCAGGCTCATCACATGATCAAGAATCTTATTAAAAATAGTAATCAACAAAATATTTTTACAAGAGATCTTAACAATAATACGAATATTGTGATGCAAGAAATATGTAAATTATTTATGAGACAAATCACTTCTTTAAAAAAATTAATTTTTTGGAAATCTCCAAGTGTAAATTTTAATTTTTACCCTGGATCAAAAAATTGTTTAAAATATCTCACAGAATTACATTGTAATTCCAATATTCCAACAAAATTTTTTTATCAATTATCTCAAGTATGTCAAAATATATTATCATTAGATATAACTATTGGTCAAGTTATTTCTGATGGATTAAAAGATTTTATATCTGTTCAAAAGAATTTAAAATATTTAGATATACATTATGGTAGAGGAAAAGATTTGAGAGATATAATTCCAACTTATGTTACTTTTTCACAATTACAAATTTTAAAAATTCAATATTCTTGTTCAAAATATGATTCTTTAATAAAATTCTTGGAAATGAACGGTAAAAGTTTAAAAGAATTTTATATAGGTGATTATGCTGGTGATAGTGATAATTCTTTAAATTTAGCTATTGCTAATTTTTGTCCAAATATTAGAAAACTTTCTACTGGATTTAAAAATAATGAATTAAAAACTTTAAAATTGGTTTTTAATTGTTGTCAATTTTTAGAATCTATTAATATTTGGTGTGGTGGTGAATTTTTTAGTGAAAAGGAAGCATTGGAAGCGATCTTATATTATTCAAATAAAAATACTTGTGAATTAGTATTATATCATTTATATAATACTAGATCAAAATTATTACCAGAAGAATTAGAATCTATTCTCTCAATTTGGAAAAATCGTGTACCAATAAAACCTCTTTCTTTGATGATTGTAAAATATGATGCTAATAGTTTAGATACGAATGATATAAATATGAAAATAATTAGAAAATATATTAAATTAGGTGTTATTAAGAAATTCAAGGTTACAGGTTTCGATAATGGTGAAAAGACTGCCCATTATCGTAAATTTAGGCCAATAGTTTAGATTTGTTGTATTACATGATTTTATTATTTTATGTACTTTTATAAAAAAAAAAATATTATATTATGTTAATAAAATACATATTCGTAGAATGAATCTGATTATAATATTTATCATATTTTATAATTATTGTGATGATAAAGGGGCCACTATCTGGCATTCTGGCTAGCAAAAATTGAAGATTCAGATCAATTAATTGGAGGTTATAAATTATAATCCACTTGTTTGGAATGGTGATGGTGTTTGGAAATCATCATCTAATAGTTTTTTATTTAATTTCGATGATGGAAAAATGTAATTCTTCTGGAAAATGTGGTGCTATTTATTGCAAACGTGACTCTGGACCACTACGCCTAGTTATTGGATTAATTCGGGAAATGTTTCTTCCGATTGGGAGACATGGACCCAAGTGACAAGGAACATCCAATTGCTCAAGGTAGGACGTACTTCCGATGATGAGGGGGAGGATGAGGAGGAGGATGAGGAGGAAGACCAAGATGATGGAGATGAGCCACTCGATACATTTTACAGTGATGAGGATTGGGAATAGAGCGTATCTCAACAGGTTTTAGAATAAACGCCGAAACTTATAAAGAGAAGTGTTTCGGCGCCTCAATTAAATATTCCATCCGAATTAGGGGGTAGAAATTATTGGTGTTTCAAGTAATTAAAAAATAATGAATAATTAGTTTATATAATCTATTGATAGATTAAATATTCCAAAATTCTTAAAATTCTTAAGATTCTATTTATTGCACTCTTTTTTTTTTTACTTTATTCCAACTAATTCAAATTTAATACAAGTGAAATATTCCACTATTCCGTATAGTAATCTCACGATACAATAAATATAAAGATTTTCCACCAGAATTTTTTCGTGATGGCGTTCTATTTGTTAGAAAATATTATTTCATGATAAGTTTTTTTCTGACGACGTTCTAACATGATTTTTGCATAGTTAAAGAGCTGATATGAGATTTATAGTGTACCAAAATGTGTATTCCATAATAGCCTAACGCAAAAAGTATCTTAAATTGAATACTAATTGGCTCATGTGTAAATCAGATGCCCTGAATAATTTTTCATAGCTAATAATTAAAAATGGCGCAAATTATTTTTTTTTTTTTTTCTTCTTCGTTTATATAAAAATTCCATTTTGCTCCAACGTCACTAGTAACATTTGTGGGAATAACTTGCGTTACAATTATCCATTTTATCGCACTCTATAGGATCATGCTGTTTTTATTTAACCGATATTTTCATCAATAGTTTATTTGCGTACAATATTGGAATATTGATAGTTTATTTGAGCATGATTTGCATTGATAATATAGGTATTGTACGGTGGTAACTATATTGGTTAACGTCACGTCGTCACGAAGTGACGTACTGACGTTTACCAATATATCCATAAAGTATATTTTGCTATAATTTTATAATTTTTTAATATAGTAATATAAACAAGTATTTTTTAAATAATCAAATGATTCATGCGAAGAATAATCATGCATCGGAATCTCAAATTTTGATTGTGATCAATGACTCAAGAAGCTCAAATCAAATTTTCCCATGAAATATTCTTATAAAAATCACCTTTTCCGCACTCGTTTTTTTTTTAAAAAAAAATACTTTTTTTTCCTTAAAATACTCGCGCACGTATTTTATTATTTAAAATAAAATACTCTTGCACTCGTATTTTATTATTTTAAAAAAATACTCTTGCACTCGTATTTTATTTTTTAAAAAAATATAAATACTTCTCATTAGAAACACAAGTATTTTAAGTCTTTCAGTCACTCCTAGTCAAAAAAGTTTCACGAAAACTTGCCCTATTTCGTTAAAAATGGAAATGAACAACAAACCTGAATAGAAATCAATAATGATATTTTCAAATATTCTGGTAAGTGGAAATGACTAAGCTGGGATGTACAAGGGACTAGTGCACCTAGAGTGCTTTGGTTATCCTCCTCTTCTAGTAGTCTGGTTACCTTCAATGAGAAAAATCTCAAGCTATGTCGCAGACTTCTGTATGTGGGGCCCGTCCCTTTGGTGTGGTGGGTCTCATGTCTTATTATCAATGTGACAGTACCTCTGCACGAGTTTGATCACTCACGATATACGTTAATGTCAGTTGATAGTAGGCATGGGGGCTTGAATTTGTCTTTTCTGCAAAGCTTACTTAGAGTACTCGAGTCTTCTAACCTATTTTATTGTATATTGTAGATTCTATTCTCTCCTGTTGGATTCAGCTTTTACGGATTGGTATGTTGTAAGATTTTTTGGGTCATTGCTTTAAACATATAACAAAATTTAGGTCTAGTTTTTGCAATAAATGATCATTAACATTCAAATTGTTTATTATTATGTGGTATTTGTTTATACTTTTATAGTTTTATACATTATAAAAAAACAAAATTGCGGTAAAATAAATGATTGAGAATTTTACTATACATAGTTATTTAACCTGTTTGATTGTGCTATATGTCTCTACTCTTAATTCTATAATTTTCTCATTCTTTGAATTTCCGCCTAATTTAACTAAATTTTGTTCGAAAGCGAACTAGTTTTTTAATCAAATTTTGAGCATGTGCTTTCATGCCTTTAGTATCTGCATTATCCCTTAAATTTTCAGGGCGAGAAACGAAACATTAATACCCTTCATTTCCACATAGATAGTGATTGTTTTATACTCTAAATGCAATGTTGACTTTTTTTTGGATACTGTAATCTTTTTTGACCCTATAATACGACAAAGTATGTTTATCACTCAATTGCTTGCCGTCAAAAGTAAGACACTGTTGATCAGGAAGAATGCGTAATTTATCATAGATTTTTGTTTAATCTGATTAATTGTATCACTCGTTTCTGCTTCCAGTTCTATGGATTTTTCAGTCTTCATTTTCACAAAGATCACTGCTTTAGATCTTAGATGTAATGTAGATTTTTTTTGGATATTATAATATGACAAGGTTTGGTAGTTATGTAATTTTTTGTCAGCGAAAATAAGAAATTGTCGATGAATGGGTACGTTTTCTAGGCTTTGATCTTCTCTTTAATCTGTTCATAATATCAAAGTTTTTTCGAAAATACTTCTAAAAAAATTAAATTAACATTGAACTCCTTGTAGCTTCCTTAGCTTCTCCAACTAATGATGGGTGAATAGTGAGAGAATTTTCCCATACACTCCATATTACTTTAACTAAATCACCTTTCTAAGGTTAAACAAAAATGGCAAACCATTCATTAATTATTAATAATACATAAAGTACATGTGTATCCTTTTCCTTTTCCTTCCAAACAACAAATAAATATTTTATGACTAAGCGCAATCTCATAGACATTTACCTTGATTCCAAGCTTTCCAAGAGTGTCTGTAGGTCGTATGTCCTTTCCGTTATATACAAGCTTACATGGTTCGTATTCACTAACGCCAGTTTCGAATTCTTTCAATAATACCTCTCCGGTAGTATTTGAGGTCACATTTGCTACGTATACAGAACCTGAGGTGTGTTGGAGACGAATAGGAAAAATAGTATTAGAATCAAGCACGGTAGTTAAATGTATTTTGTTCTTGCATATTTATTTACGTCTTGAAAGGATGAATTTTTTATATTTTTCTTTTTTATTTGGCTCCTTTAGGAATTATAAAGCCATTTGCACCTGTAATGAATGCTGTAATTCAATTCTATTTCGTTAGAATCATTTCGATTACTAATTTGGAATTCGTGATCAATGAAGATCTTCACAATAATGTTAAAATCTAAATCAATTTAAATTTAAGTTTAAAAACTTTAGAAAGCTGTATCACAACGTCGGATTATAGTATACTATAAATGTTAGTGTTGTACCAAAACATCGTTAGATCGGAATACCCGATCGCACGCCAATATGGTCACACAACGTATATCCATTACTATTTATAATCATCTTATATACAATGAAAAAAAATCCTAATTATTATTTATTATTCATCATTTGATAATGACAGTGAGCGATGATAAGTATATGGTGTCTTTATAATAGTATACTAACTTAATAAGGACATTACAAAATATCGAATTTTTTGATCAAAAATCCATTAACCAATCCTAACATGTGATCAAAATCAAAATTGAGTACTTTTGATCGGCTTATTGAACGGTTAATCGTGGCATTACCTTATTTCTCGTATATAAAATATTTTTCTTTTTTAAATGATAAATAAGCAATACCATAAAGGTATAGTAAACTTTTAAGGGCGCATATTAAAACTTTACTAAGCACCAGACATTAAAAAACCGAACGATCACATTAGGAATACTATAGGAATTAATGCTACTAATAACGATTTCAATATTGGATCGGTCATTAAAATCCCACATATTCTTTCCTAATCGACTGAAAAATAACATGATTTAATAAATTATATTTGTAATTAAAATTTAAACATACTTTTTTATGACTCTGGTATCTATTTTTAAGTATTAGAATACATCGATTTGAGATGCTCATTTCGAAAAGATTAAAACACACCGAAAAACGACACGAAGCTAGTTTGGCATGCAAATTTGAAGTTCAACTACTACAAAACATTATGACACTTTCAGACAGTGTTGGCAAATGACCTTGAAATGACCTTTAAATGACCTGATTACGTCATGATTTTACTATGAATATATCACGTGATCATATACGAAATGACCTAAGGTCATTTCAAAAAAGTGAAATGACCTCAAAATTTGCCAACACTGCTTTCAGATATATAAAAATTTTTAAAGTGGCGATATTAAAATGAACGCAGCAAGGCAACAGACACAAAATTATGAAAAATTGGATCAATTTTCTTTTTACATGGCAACTAGCAACAGCCCATTGCTTCACACCGCAGTGTTCGGCAAATGACTTGAAATGAACAAATGACTCAAATGACAAGTCATTTGTCATTTGTTATTTGCAACTCAAATGACCTGTCATTTAAGTCATTTGAAAAATATTAAATATTCTGAGAATTTTTATTAATTATTTTGTTTATTTTAATTAAGAAAACAAAAATATTAAAACAAAATTGGTTTAATATATATAATCAAAAAAGTTCCAATAGTAGTAAAGATTTTTTAATCACGTGATTTTGTTATTATTTTACAGGTTATTATTTGTTAATAATATTATTATAGACAGGATTATTTCACTTATAATTATTTCACTAATGATCATTTTATCCACACAGATAAAAGTTAATTGATTTTGCAATAAAATATTTAATTGTAACACATGTAGTGGATCCCATTTTTCACCATTTTTATATATAATTGTTGTCTTTATTTAATCATAAGATGGCCATAATATTTATTTATGCATATAATTATATAATAAAATTATATATTTTAAATAACATATCAGATATTATCACTTTAATAATTATGGTTGTGTTATTTATTATTTTCAGATTACAGTAAAAAATAAATAATTTGGTGAAATTGATTCTGTTTGTGATTATTTCGATTACGTCCTTCCTTTTTTGTACATCACGTGATTATAAATTGTCCAATAATCTTTAAATATTTTAATGACAAATGACCAAATGACAAAGGACGCAAATGACAGTCAAATGATACCCAATCATTTGGCATTTGTCATTTCGCAAATAATTCAAATGCCAAATGCCAAATGATGGGGTGTCATTTGACCAAATGACTCCTAATCCGAAAAATGGTCAAATGACCAGGTCATTTCCGAACACTGTCACACCGAGATTAATTAACTTAAATCATATAGGTAATTGTGCACACAAATAACATTTCCGAACACTGTCACACCGAGATTAATTAACTTAAATCATATAGGTAATTGTGCACACAAATAATATTAAATTCTTTTCAATGATAAAATTATCAATAATAAACTAATCATTTTATTTTAAAATAAATGTTGCGTCCGTTAATAAAATATCAATGTTATACACGTCAATACTCAATACATTGTTTGATCTGCGAAATGATCGACATCTCGCGGCACGCGAAAAATTTTATAAAATGCGAAATTTTAAGGGCGTGATTGTTAAATATTCAAATTGGCGAAAGCAAAATGAGCTTAAAATCACGATGTAAACGCGAAATATATATCAGATATATCAACAGGTTAATAATCGCCTATAGTATATCTTATAATCGATTAATTATCCGGTTATAGTAATAGTTTTAAACTAGAAATTTGATTTCGTTCAACAATTTGAATCTTAGTCATCCAGTTGTACTTAAAAAATTAACTAAGGGTATTTGAAAAATTTAAAATTTAAAATATTATATTAGTAATAAACAAAGATTTCTCAATACAATGAAATAGCAACTTAAATCCATGTTTACTCGTCAATTGCTTTTAGGTATGAAGATTTTTTTTTTTTTTTGAAAAATTACTTGAAATAAGGTATTTTAAATATATTAGAAATGATTTAAAAAAAGTATTAAAATCTGTGTGAGAATAAAATATTAATATAATGTTCAAAATATACTTGTAATAATAATCTATAATTCTAGCGATCAAAATGTAGGTTTAAAATAGTAAAAATAATAAAAATATAAAAATATTTATAGAGTAATCACGCCTTACGTTTTTTCTAATAGTAAGATCCATAAATTCTACTATTTGTCAGGAATTTGTTGAATATTAAGTTTTTTTAATAGATCATCTTTTAATTCTGGGAATGCATTAGTATTCCATTCATCTTGATTCATCATTTTCTCAACTTCTTTTCGGACATCATTAATTTTGGCACTGTAATGTCTTTAAAAAAAAATATGTTATATAAATATTAGCATAAACCAACAACGTTTTTACTTAAAAAAAAAGAAAGGATTAAGAATGAATATTAAAATTAACATACATTACTTCAGGAAACCATTCTTTCCAACGTCTCTGATGTGGTAACAAGTAAAATAACTCAATTTCAGCTAGAATCTGAAAGACATTAAAAAAAAAATTTTAGTACTTTTATAACAATTTTATATTAAATAATGATGTTATACCTCTGCCTTCTGTACCAAATAAGAGACTCTATTATAATCTTTATTAATTGCATTATTGAGTAACCCAATAAACAAATTCATAAGATAAACAACAATCAAAAATGAGAATAAGACAATCAAAATTACAAGCGGTGGATTGTTTAAATATGTCCAATTAGATAATGCACTTGGATCACCTAATAAATTAAAACGCTTAAAAAATACTTGTACATTATTATAAAGAATCAACAAATTTTTAAATTTGAAATACCTGTTAAGAATTTATACATTGTAAAAAGAGATGTTTTAAAATCTATGAACATATTTGTATTTTCATTTGGTGGTTGAATCAAAAATGGGTTAGAATCAATAGTTCCATTTTCAAATATTTGATTATAAGTAGGTGCTAGTTTCCAAGGATTATTAGGATCATTAATATTAGGATCATTAATATTAACTGAACGATTATCAAGATTATCTAATAAAAAATCAGATCTTGGTAATAATAAAATATAAAATGCATGTGCAAAACTTATTATAATGATAAATAAGAGTACTAAAAAGGAAATAATCTCTTTTGCAACACTAATGATGATTGCAAAGTACACGCCAAAATATTCAAATGCTCTAAAAAATAATAAAAATTTTATATCCAAAAATAAGCATGAAAAAGAAAGTAATGGAATTATTTCATCATTTATTTCACTTATTTGTAGCCAATAAATAGAAGTGTAAATTGGAAGTAGGTATGCAATTATATCTAAATTTTAAATTATATATTTAGTTAATTTTTTTAAAATTCATAAATTAATATAAAGTTATAAATTTATACTTATATACCAAATATATTCCAAAAATCATAAAACCATTTAAGAGGGTTGTAAATAAACTGACGAACTTCAAAACTCAAATGAATAAATCCTAATATAATTGAAGCAATAAAAAGCTTTTTTCGAATATCATCATCAATTTATTGTTGAGAAATTGTTGCAGCAGCAGTAAAACATCCAAGTAAAGCCATAAATCCAATCCAAATTATTGAATAATAGAAACTTCCATAAGTATTCCATTTAAAATTAATTATTGCTTCTCCACTCCACGTTTTATAGATATCTCTACTTATTGTTTCAACAAATAGGCTAGGTTGAGGTTTAATTAATTCTAAAAACCAATTATAATATAGTGGATAATTAACAAACTTAATATAAGGAACCATAAAAGTAATTATTGGTGTTTCTCTTGTTGTTAATTTATTTGACAATACAAAATAAAAAGTAGAAAACACCCCTATATCGAAAATTTCATTAATAAAATGATATTTTTCTAATATATAAAATACAGCAATATAAATTAAAAAAAAGGGTAAAAGTAAGATCATCACAATAAGTATTAATAATCGAAGTATAATTAGTATCCAGAATATAGTCTCATAATTATTAAGTAATCCGTGTAAAAAGAATTTATATTTTGACCATAAAATGGATCGAGTTAAATCAACTAATTGAAGATATTGAAAAGAATAAAGAGATTTTGTATGTTGATATTCTATACTATAAAAAGGATGATCTATAATCATTGTTGTTTCTAATGAATATCTTAAAATATATTCTGGGTAATATTTATTCAATAACGGCGTTGTAGAAGTAATAATACTAAGAAACATCCAATTGTTTCCTAAATCTTCATTAAACCAACTTATACATTTTTTGTAGATTTCTTCTATTAAATCTAATTTATGTTCTTTAATTGCAAATGATAATAATTTGTCCCCATATTTCAAAAGATTTCCCTTATTATCTTTTACATATGAAATCCATTCATCACATATTTTAAAACTATCATAATTTAGTAAAGGTAAATTAAATTGTAAAGTATAATAAGGTTTTAATAATGCTTTAAAATCTCCAAAAAATTCCGGATCTTCAAAATTAAGTGTACCTACATTAGGATAGGTTAACTCCAAATAATTCCAATAGATTAAAGACATAGATTTCTTGTTTTCATTAAAATGATAAATTAAAAAACCTATTGTTGTAATTAAAATGATATCATCATCGGTAAATAACTTAATTTCAAGTAATTTAATTTTTCGAGCGTCACTAACGTTAAATTTTGTTATCTTTGTATCAGTTAATTCCCATTTTCTTTTAACATCAGCTTTTTTAAAAACTCGCAACATTATTTTATTATGACCAATAATTTTAATTTTCCAAACTTGTAATAATTTATCAGTTATTATAATTCGTTCAACTAAATTTTGATCATTTTGTTTTAATTTTCTTTTATATTCACTTTTAGAATTTGATAATTTTTGAAACAATTCACGTATTTCATCCATATATGATTTAAATAAATTAATATTTAGGTGTTCGTCGAAATAGTCATTACTGTCTTCAATAACCTGTACATCGGAATTTTGGGATGAAAAATTTATTTTTGATATATTTTCTTCTAATTTAATTTTCCAAACATTTCCATCTAAAATTCCAAATGCGTATTTATCTGTAGTTTGAAAGTTACTTGGAAGAGTTTGTAAATTTTCGTCCTTTAATCCTAAACGGGTTAAACATTTTTCCCAACAATATTCCATAATAGGATTTAGAGTTTTACTACTTAGTAAGGGAAGTAATGAGGGCAATAACTTAGAATATTTCACCGATTTATATAGTGAATTATCTGAATAATAGAAAAGAAAAAATAGTAATTAATACTTAATATTTTTTATACTTTTTTTTAACTTAGAATAATAAAGTAAAATAATACCATTATTCATATCCAAAGAAATAATAGGAATTGTGATTCAATAGAATATATAATAAATCCATCCATAATTCTTAAACAAATAAACATTTCATTGCTGGAAATTTTAAGCTCCCGCTTACTATAATGTGACTATTAAAAATAAGTAATAATTAATTATACTGTATATTTATATATAAAATACGGTAAATATTTTGAATAGTTTAACGAATATTAATTACCTTAAACTCCTTGTCATTAATATAAAATATTTTTGTACCCTTTTCAGCATCAAGATCCCATTCATAAATGGAATTATTTGAAATTAAATAAAGTTTATCATATTTTGACATATTTATCAATTCAAAATACTCAGGTATCTTGTAAATTCTTTTACAAATCCATTTGTAATTTTTCGCTTGTGTAGAATAAATCCAAATAATTTTATACTTTTTATGATAATATCTATCGTACGTATTCCAATTATCATATAAAAGAAATTCATATTTTAAATTAAAGGTATGATATGGACAACTTAATAATTCTATGTTTAGACTTAGTTTAATTTTCTGGTTATTATTAATATCAATTATTTCTATAAATATAAATTTGATAAATATTAATTAATGTATTAAATACATAATTAAATAATTAAAAATAATTCTTACTTAGCAAATACTCGTTTTTCTTGTAAAACGTATACGCAAGTTTCTTATCATCGGAAACACTTATTTGATCTATACTATCATTTACTTTGACAGGAGCGTCTGATTTAGTAAGTTGTCCCTCCTCTATATCTTTAACATTCCAACCGACGATTGAGTGATCTTCTGGATTGTAAACAACAAGATATTCTCCATTTGGTGATACTTTTATAATAGGTTTGTCGATATACGCCGGTTTATTGATATCGATATCACTATCATCGTTAATGATATCGTTTTCATCAATTTTATTAATTTCGTCCTTGAGATCGTTACTGATATCGTCGTCAACTTTTATGGAGATTTTGTCAGAACTCATTGGAACATATAGATTATATTTTTTTTATTTTTTTTTATTTATTAATTTATTGATGTACTGATCTAGCGACCAGCACTTATTTTTATAATAAAAAACTCTCGGTTACGATAGATATGGAATGTACCTTTCGGCAGTGCTTGAAAACAAAAAAAAATCGGATTTATATCCGGGTCAGATAATCCGGCGAAATCCAGATAGATTTTACAATTAAAATTTTTTGAAATTTCGAATTTCAACAAATAATTCATTTCATTGAATTTATGGCATGACTTTTATTTTGTGGCTTTTTATTTGTGGCTTTTTTAAATAAGTTATATTGCTTTTATTTAATAAAAATCTGAGGCTTTTTTAAAAAAATTCATTGTTTTTTTTAATAAAAGTTATGGAAAATTAATGGCTTTGTTAATAAAAATTTACAATGATTTTTTGTGGCTTTTTTTTTAATAAAAACTTGTGGCTTCTTTATTAAAATTTTATTAAACAACATTACAAACTAAGGAAATATAGTTTTCTAGCCATCTGATATGGAAAAAAAAGATGAAAAAAAACTATTTACCGTGATTTTCCTTATTGTGAGATGTTTATTTAAAAGGAATAAACTAAAACGAGTTAAAAATGATGTACAGGGCGTTAGTCTCCGTGGAAACCAGTTATTTACATCAGCCTCGATCTCATTGATCATCACGGCTCCGCCGTGATGATCAAAACTTCCCACATACAGTTATTACAGTATATACTGTAATTACAAATTCACTTTATAAATATTAAAGCTCTTAGCATAGATCGATTTAAGATGCCGATCATTTCGCAGATTCAGGCGAACACAGAATAGTAATTATAACTTTATAATTATAATAATAATCGATTAAATCTCATCACCGATTAATTATCCGATTATAGCAAATCTTGGGTCGTCCAGTTTTTATAACAAAAAAAAATCTTTTGGCGTTTAGAATAGAATACTTTCTATATAAATAATTTGAATTGTGTAACAAGAACCCGTGACATGTCTGCGCCCGATCTATTTATTATTTTGGCTATCAGGTCATGTGTACGTTCTGACACTGTTCTGACGGGGGCTCTCAAGTTAATGAAATTTAGTGAAAAAATTTTTTATTTTCGATCTTTTTTCAAAACCAAAAAAAAAAAGTTTCCAGTTTTTTTCAATACTAAAAAAAAAAAAAATTTTTTTTTTTCAGCTTTTATTTTAATAACTTAAAATATTTTTAAAATTTTAAATTTTACATCATATTTAACATACATAGAAACAAATTCATGATCATTCTTATTTAATTTTAAAAAAATAAATTTTCTAATCCATAAACTGTAATTAATATATAAAATACTTTATCATGCATTAAATGAAAAATGTATATAATAACAATCACTGCGCATGTAATAAAATTTAAGGGCAAATTTTTCTTATTATGATAGCCATATTAAAAATTATGGTGCCGTATAGTTATTAATTATATAATTTATGTATGTAGATCAAAATCGGCTAAAATAAATTTTATTGGTTAAAATTGATGATTTTCGAATCCATAATTCTGGCCAAATTTTGCTTAATTCCGGCCAATTTTATAATGCCGGCCTAAATTTTATAAAAATTGAAAAATGCAGTTCAAATGTAACATTACATTTATATAAAATAACTTTCAAACTAAATATAGAAAATAATACTTCTTGACAACATCTAAGAGTGTGTTGAAAAATTTTTTCAAATACTTTTTGTTTTTTAAGGTGGATCTTAACTAGAAGTTGGTACATT